CATACTGTCTGTCCCAGGGCCCCCACAGTTGTGCACCTTGTTCACTGCAGAGGGTGCTGAGGCTGTGAGTAGGGGCCATGGGCCATGACAAGGGGGGCCATGGGCCATGACAAGGGTCTGTTCCCACCTACAGAATGGAACCCCTTTCTCTAATCCACACAAAGGTTCTGACTTCTCTTGCCAAACATGGCACCTGTATGTTGGATTGGGGGCGAATGAGCAGTGACCAGTGCTATCAAGGATATTCCCCTGTGTATTCCAACTAGAACTAGAACTCATCCTGGAATAATCTTAAAGAATTTTTGTTTAAATAGATATAGAGTGAGAGTTAAGTACTGTGCATAGTTTGAAGAGGAGCTGTAGTAATAAAGCATTGATTCCATGGTATCAGTTGCACAAGCAGAGTGGACCATAGATGAAATTGGAAAGAGTTTGAGGTTTGGGATATCTTCCTGTCTCCTCTTCTGTAAATTAGCCTGGTGGTGCAGTGGTTAAGAGCTACAGCTGCTAACCAAAAGGTCGGCAGTTCGAATCTACCAGCCACTCCTTGGAAACCCTATTGGTGCAGTTCTACCCTTTCCTATAGGGTCACTATGAGTCGGATGGGGGTTTGTTTTGTTTTTTCTTTCATTCCTCTCCTTGTCCTCCCTGGACTCCCTATCCCACACTGCTAAGAATACCAGCTTCAAATTTTCACTTTCTCCAAAAACTATCCACCTTCCTTTTGTCGTTGTTGGAAATATACGTATATATATATAACATAACATTTGCCAGTTTAACATTTTTCCATGTAGAATTTAGTAACGTCAATTATGTTAATCATGTTGTGCAATCATCACCAGTAATCGGTTGCCAAATTTCCCATCACCATAAGCAGAAAGCCAGTACTTCCTAAACAATGACTCCTTTCCCCCCGTCCCTCCTGCCCCTAGTAACCACTGATAAACTTTGGTTTCTGTACATTTGCCCATCCTAGATATTTCATGTGAGTAAGATTATGCAATATTTTTCCTTTCGTGACTGACTGACTTCACTTAGCATAATGTTTTCAAGGTTCATCCATGTTGTAGCATGTATTAGGACTTCATTTCTTTTTATGGCTGAGTAAAATTCCATTGTGTGTATACCACGTTGTATCCTTTCACCTGTTGATGGACATTTAGATTGTTTCTACCTTTTGGTTATTGTGAGTAGTGCTGCAGTGAACATCGGTGTGCATGTGTCTGTTTGCATTGCTTCTTTTATATCTCTTGGATATATACCTACAAGTGGAATTTCTGGGTTATATGATAATTTTGTTTAACTTTTCGAGGAACTGCCGGACTGTTTTCCACAGTGGCTGTACCGTTTTGTATTCCCACCAGTAATGGATAAGTTTTCTAATTTCTCCATAACCTCTCCAATATTTGTTTGGTGTTTATTTTGTTTTCCTTTTTATCTTAGCCATCCTAGTGGGGATGAAGTGGTATCTCATTGTGGTTTTCATTCGCGTCTCCCCAATGTCTGAGTCGGAATCAACTAGATGACATCGGGTTTTTTTAATGGCTAAGGTGGCATAGTGGTTAAGAGCTGGGCTGCTAACCAAAAGGTCAGCAGTTTGACTCCATCAGCCACTCCTTGGAAACCTTATGGAGCAGTTCTACTTTGTCCTGTAGGGTCGCTTTGAGTTGGAATCTACTCGATGGCAAGGGTGTTCGTTTTTTTTTTTAGTGGCTAAGGATGTTGAGCATCTTTTCATGTACTTGTTAGCCATTTGTATTTCTTCTTTGGTGAAATGTCTATATTCAAATCCTTTGCCCACTTTTCGATGGGGTTGTTTGTCTTTTTGTTGTTAAGCTGTAGGAGTTCTTTATATATTATGACTATTAAACGCTTATCTGATAAATGGTTCCCACAGTTTTTCTCCCAATCTGTAGGTTGTGTCTTCACTTTGTTTTTAAAGTCCTTTGTTGAACAAAAGTTTTTTTTTTTAATTTTGTTAAAGTACCATTTATCTGTTTTGTCAAAAATACACATTCTTCTAGTCACTGAAAATGTTTTTCAAGAAGAAAGCACTGTAGTAGCCAAATTCACACTAAAATGTAAATAGCTAAGAGCAGTTAAATGTCACCTTTCCCAAGGGCAGCATTTTAATACTTAAATAGCAGTTGAACTGCACCTTATTGCTGTTGTTAGCTGCTGTCCAGTTGCCCTGACTCATGGTGACTCCACCCATGCACAACAGAATAAAACATTGCCCGGTCCTGCGCCATCCCTGTGATGAGTTGGGGATCAGACCATTGTGATCCATAGGGTTTTCGTTGGCCAATTTTCAGAAGTAGATCACCAGGCTTTTCCTCCTAGTCTATCTTACTTTGGAGGCTCTGCTGAAACCTGTTCAGCATCAAAGCAACACACAAGCCACCACTGACTGACATGTGGTGGCTGCACGTGAGATGCATTGGCCAGGGATTGAACCTGAGTCTCTCACATTGAAGACAAGAATTCTGCTGAACCACCAAATGCCTCACAAACTGCATCTTGGTAGTAGAACTTCAGGCAATGGGAAATGATAGGCATTTTAAGTGGATATTTTAAGGGAGGAAAGTGTTCTTTATCTTTGGGACCACTATGTGTTGGTCAAAGCTCTTAAGAGTCTCTCAGTTTACATTATCTTTGTTCCTTGCTGCTTTTATATTTATTGTGCTCAGTTCTTCATTTGCAATTCCCCAGTCACTCCACTGTTCTTTTGGGCCAGTCTAAACTTTTCATTCTTGGTTTTGAGCATGGCCTAGACTGGCATTTGTTTTTAATCTCCCAAACCCATCCTTCCTTGATTTCCTTCTTTCCAGCCAAGCAGACAGCCTTATAACTTCTACCCATCTTTAAATCTTCTGTTTTTAAGTATCTCTACCCCCAAAAGCTGCTTCCTTAAAAGTATCAGATTCTCCCTCTTTTTTGAAGCTTTATTAAGTGAGGTTGAAATTCAGAACCTCCCCATTGCTTCCTTATCTGGAAGCTAACTCCATAAGCCCAGGAGAGGGAAAGGAAAGCTTATTGAGGGTCTGTTCGTTAGAAACTTTTAGAAGGCAAAGATTGTCTTTTCCTGTTTTTCTTTCTATACCAAGCCTAGAAAAGCACATTTGATATTTTTCTTCTTCTTAAGTGATTACAATAGGTTACTGAAAGCTGGGACTTTAGTTTCCCCTGTTTTAAATTATTCCATGAATTGAAACAACTTCTACACCTTTTGGGCTTAAATTATGTCAATGACGCCAAAATCACTACATAAGTTGGTCAGTTAAGTAAAAAATCTACCATAAGGCAGCATGGCCAAATGGACTGTGTCAAGGAAGTAAAAATAGCTGAAATAGAAAGCCCACGTAAAAATGGCCAGTCTCTCCATCCATGATTCTTTAAAGAAACTTCATAATTCTCAGTTCCCTCCATCATGCAAATAACATATTTTAAAGGTTTCTAATCCTTGGATGAACGGAGTTTTTAAAATGTCAATAAACTATGGTCACACTGTACTTTGTTCAAAAGGTGAAGATTTTGCATATTTAATCTCAGTAGACTCTAGCAAAATCAAGTATGAGACGGCAAGGGTCCAATTTCCTTTTCCAAATGAGGAGGAAGCATCATTTAGGATGTATTTAGATGTATTTACCCCCATTCCTTTTGAAGGAGTTTTTGTTTTGAAAAATCATTGTCTATTTATGAATATAAACCATTGATGGCTTCTGCTGCCAGCTTCTGCTCTCCAAGTGTGTCTTTTTTTTCTGCCCATGGTCTTACTTACTTCATTCCCTTAAATAGAACAGATATTGGAGCCTAAGTGCTGTGCGGTTCTCTCATATACTTACTGTGCTTGGGATATGAATACCTTTTAAAATTCTCCCCATCCATGTCTGGCTTCATGCATTAGGATACTTTAGTAAAATCATGGTAAACTATGTACGGTCTTGGTGAGTGCGTCACTTCACTTTTTTTCTGAATCCAGCTTACCAAAGACAGTCCAGGTCAGACGTAGCATCTTTTTCATTAAATTTGTCGAGTTTTTATCCCTCTCCCTTTTTTCAAGCTTGGTTGTGCTAAGAAATTGTATGATGATTAACCAATTGTGGAAGGTGTGCGAACCAGCCATCTTTGTCTACAAATAGAAGAAGGAGTCAGCAGTCCTTCAAAACGCAGAAGGATGGTCTAAGTCTTCAACACCTTTTTCTTGGGAGGAGGGAGGTTGTTGGGAAAGAGGCATATGCTTGCTGGCCACTCCTGGAGGCGCATTCAGTCTTAGGCGCTCATCAGCCCTTAGAAATGGAGGAGCCAAGAGGTTGCCAATTGGTGTGCCACAGCTAGGTTTGATACATGGGCCAAAGTCTGCTGACATCTGTTTGGGCAGGTGCCCACCTGTATTGTAACTTCATTTCTAAACTGGTTAAAATATAGTCAGTCTTCCATTTTGATAAACAAATATTGAGTGTCAAATATATAGAACTTTACATTGTGTATGTACTATGGTGAAGATAAAAAAGAATAAAGCCCTATCCCAGCCTTTAAGAAGCTTATAATCTAGTTATCTAAACCTTTGAGTTTAGAAAGTATTTTGAAAGTATGATGTTCTAGAGATATCCTCTAAGAAAATTGTAGTTAATGTGAATTTATGCTATTGTTACTGTGGTTACATACTACTCACTTGCAGTTGCTATACCACAAGTCCCACTGACAACTCATCACCCATCCCCTACCACCTCCCACACTCATTCCTGAATAGCTGCATTCCAGATAGTTGGTAGATAGAGTTATGAATTGATCTCCAACTTGGGTAGAGCTAATAAATATGATTTAGGATGAAAGGCACTGTGTAAATGCTTGAGATGTTGTTATTACTGTTCTCATACACTTCTATTATTTTTAAATTGTGTATCCGTTGAAGTAGATTATTTGTTCGCCACAGCTTCCATTGTATCTAAGTAAAGCATTCACAGAAATTTCTAAAACCTTTTCATTTCTCTCTGTAGGTTGTTGTTTCGTAACATTTTATACAAGAAAAGCTGCACTTGAGGCCCAGAATGCGCTGCACAATATTAAAACTTTACCTGGGGTGAGTCGGTTTCCTTTTGTACCAAAATCACTTTATTGCTTGAAAATGGTCCCTTTCAACTGAAGGTTCTAGTTATGGGCTCTTGGTGCCAAAAACGACTTTGGTCTTTTGAGGCATGTGTGCTGACCCCTCTGTTCCCCTACAGCAGCCAAACCAGCTGGCCGGCCCATAAAGAAGCATTGGCATTAACGCTGACAAAAAGAGCTCTTAAATAGCATATCCCCTGGTTAGAAAATCAGAGTGACCCCACTGGGTAGCAGCTGCTGCCGAGGAGTATTGGGTGGGTTAAGACTTTAAAAGGAAAAAAAAAGAAAAGCCAACACACGTAAGAGAAGCAAATGGAAAAGGAAAAGCTTTTACTCACCAGGAGCCCCTTTTCAAATTTAGTCTTTAGATTTTCTTTTGAAAGGACAAAATGTACCCTGTATAGCAATAATATTAAGCCTCCTAATGGTTTCTAAACAGTCAATGGTGGTTAACAAAATCAGTGTCTTAATGCCCAATTTGTGGCTTCGTGTTGATATAGAACAGAAAATACAAAGCTTCCAATTTTTTTCCATTTCCTTCTCAGCAATATTTGATGATTAGTACAGTTCCCTAGAAATGAACTGATGTATATAGCTACTCCATCAGAATACATTATTTCTAAAGGGTTTTGTGGCAATCTTACCATATTGTATGCTAGTGTAAATTTCCCTACGCTATTTAGATATTTTCCCCATTGGCCCAACTATCAGTGATGAGTTAATTCAATGTCATAATGGTATGCATTGGTTAAAATGAAGAACTGTGGTAAGCAGTGCAGTGGTAATGATTTTATTGAAAACCTGGTGTGATAAGAATAAAAGAAAGATAACATATTGTCCCTAATGTTTTCGGAGTATGAATCTAACTTTGTGTCGTTTATCTGTCTCTGTACACATACACAAATACCTGTCTGTGTACATGCTATTTTATGCAGACATGCATTTTCTAATCCGTTACCCTAAGAAAAGACAGCATTTGTGTAATTTACCTTAGGACCATTGGAAGTTTTTTTTTTTTTAATTTGTAGTGGCAAGATGTTCAACAAAAGATTTGCAAAACATTAGCTCCTTTATCACCCAAAAGTAATAAGGTATGAACCTTGGTCTTGAGTTACACTGCTTTGGTTTTCCCCTTTTCATGTGAGCAAACCAAAGAAAAGAAGGGTCAGGGAAGCAAGTATGTAGTACCAGAATTCTGCCTCTTTGTTTATAATTTAATTACTTCCCCTGAAACTTCTAAGGCACTTTTTAGTAAGGTGGTTTTTATTAAGTGTATGTTGTTTGCTCAGTGACCGTTAAAAAAAAAAAGTAGTATTGTTTCAGCTTTATTCTCCATATAAATGGAATTTTTTCCAGAGTAAATTCTAGGAAATTGCAGTGTTAGGTCACATTATCGAAATTAAATGAGGCAAATACTTACTGGCTCAACCAACGATAGAGGAAAATAGGTTTTATTTCTCAGGCTCCCAGTCAAACCTAAATATCACTGTGCAGTCCTTCTCTTAAAGGATTTTATAGAAGAATCCTGATCAGAAGGGGGAAAATGTAGAACAGAATTTCAGATTTTCAAGGACTCCAGACTGTCTGGAGCCATGAAGGCTGGATGAACCCCTGAAACTATTGCCTGGAGATATTCTTTAAACCTTAAACCAAAAACATCCCCTGAAGTCTTCTTTAAACCAAACAATAGTTTAGCTTAGCTAGTAAAAATTGTCTTCTTTGAGCATTGTACTCTTTTAAGAACTATCTCTATGGGGTCAAATTGGCAACAGCAACTCAAAAGATTAGATAGGAACCTTAGAGGCAGTGAATTTATGTTAATGGGAGAGGAACAACTCTGTAAAGGTGGGTGAGAGTGGTTGTACAGCTTGAATGTAATCAGAGTCACTGAATTGTACATGTAGAAATTGTTGAATTGGTGTACATTTTGCTCTGTATATTCTCAACAATAACAACAAAATAAATAAAATTTTTAAAACTCTCAATAAAAAATAATACGGTAATTAGCATGCAAATTCTCTTCTAGGTGAGTTTTTTAAAAAAAATTCTCTCTTCTACGTGAGATAATGAATTGTTATTTAGCATTTAGGATATAGTTTGCTGCCAGATCACATCGTATTTTAAATTAATGCAAAGCTTGGTAAATTTGAACTCATTCCTTCTACTAGAAGCACAGCTACCAACATGCCATCTTCATATAAAAGGTTCTCTCAAGAAACCCTTTAGTTAATATGATGAATGGGGCATATTGAAATACATAGAAGTGACTGATAAGTTTGTTTCTGCTAGGGACATCTTACCTTGACCCCTTTCTTAACAAATACCATCTTTAGTATTACAAAAAAAAAAAAAAAAAAGTTGCCCATCTCTCTCTCTCCTCTTTTGCCTAAAAACGCTGCATGCAGAATTTAGGGGTGTTGATTTGGGAGACCCATTATTAAGGACAGTAATTTTTGGATTGGAAAAGATAGCTTTTGTTTTTGGTTTTTGTTTTTTTTCCCCCAGTTCATTTTCCTATGCTCAATTATCTTTGGCAAGTTAAGTGAAAATTCTGAAAAGTCAGATCTGATTTGTAAGCTTGTAGCCTTTACAGTGCACACGCTGTTGCTACATTTGCCATTTCAAATTAGGTAAGCTGGGACAGAGAGGTCCACATCCTGCATTTATGTATAGCTTTATCTGACAAACATCACCCTTAACAGCTCCAGGAAAAACATGAAAGTGGTTTCCTTTCAGCTTTGAGCTTTTGGTGGTCAGGAAGAAATGGGACCAGACATAAAAGATTAATGCATATTCTTGGAAAAAATATATTACAGGATGCCTTGCTGTTTGATTACAAGGCTTGGAATTAGTCAACATTTCCATAATTCTAAACCAATGTACACCTGTTTTCCCACTGTGAAGTGAAGGCACAACTTAATTTAACAGCAACCCTGCTGTGCTAAGTCTCTCATTAAATACCAAGTGAATTCAGTAATTTAAAGTTGCAGCACTAGTATTTTAACTGGTTGCCTTCATATTATGAAATTAATAAGAAATTAATGATGCCCTTTGCCATATGTTTTCAATTTCTTTCTGAGTAAAAAGGGATAAAGAAAAATGCATCACCAGCTGACACTTTAAAGCTTTCCTGGTTGTAATCATTTTCCTGCAGATAAAATCCATTAAAAAGGCACTTGCTACTTTTTTTCTAAAGTGTCCAAAACTTTCAGTCTAAACCGAAATCAAATAGGGATGGTTTTTCCCTATTTAACTTTCTTTTGCAGTTGATGTTTTGTAACGTAAGGGACTTTTATCATGCAGCCAAACCTGATTAATTTTTAGGTGTTTGCTTTCCTCATTTATGCACCATCTTTCTTTCTTCAGGGAAACAAAGAACTTGGTTAGTATAGGAGGGAATAAAGAAAAGCTAGTAGAACTGTTTATTGTGCAGTCGAATGTGTATGTCATGTATGGATTATAGAGACCCTACGCATGGTGGACAGAGGGTGAGGATTGGTTAAGGTGAAGGATCAGGGCCTCACTGAGCTGTGCAAAGTAATTAAGCATACATTTCTCAAGACTGTCTCTAACTATGGAACTGAGAAAGACACGGGGTCTTATATCCTCTGAAATGCTCAACATAAATCCTGGAAATACAATATTAGAAATAAAGGTAGCAAATGTGACACTCAACACACAGAACAAGGAATGAGAGTCTAGGGGTCATTTATTTGGTTTGATCATGTTCTCTCTTTTCTAGAAATGGTTGTTCAGCTGTTAAGCAACAAATCAAATCTTAGGAATAGTGCCCTAATAATTACTGGCATTTCATTACAAATAAGTATTGAGTACCTAGATTGGCTGCCAGATTGGTTCAGCGGTTCGAATCCACCAGCCACTCCTTGGAAACCCTAATGGGGCAGTTTTACTCCGTCGTATAGGGTCGCTAAGAGTCGGAATTGACTCGACGGCAGTGGGTTTGGTTTTTTGTTTTGTTTTGTTTTGTTTTGTTTTACTGTGTGCCAGGCACTAAGTTAGGTATTGACAGGAAATTGCAGAGATCAAAGCCATATGGGGCCTCGGCTTTTACGGAATTTACAGTCTAGCTGGAAGGACGGACAATAACCAAGTTTTCTGCTTCTGACAGAATACTGATCCCCCCTCAAGATCCCTAGTGAGTAGTGTTTTCATAGCCTGAATAGAATATTGTGACCGTATCTGCATAGGCAGGGCTGCTTGATTAGCCACTAGGTTTGGTGCAGCATTGCTAGACTGCCTTTTTCCACAGCTATGCCATTTGTGTTCTGGGACAAATTTTGTTTGTCTCTGCTTTGACCATACAGAAAATTACACTTAGAGATAGCTTCCTTTGTTCAGGGTTTCAGGTAGGCACAGCCTAACTGGTAGTAGTATTCGGTAGAAATATCATCATTACCATGTATTTTCCGGATAGAAATTCTTTTAAAGGCAACTTCCGAGATACATTTTGCTTTCACTGACCTCATTTCACTTAATTAAAAAATAAAATAAAAAAGACCTTAATGGAGGCACAAAAAAACTGCTAAGATCTTTTCAATAATCGAATGTCAGGGCTGAATCTCCTTATGCTAGTGACAGCGCTGTGCCTCGTGTCATTCTTTTTTCAAGGTCTTAACACATATTGTCTCTACCAATAACTTCCTGATTGAAAATCTACAGCAGTATCATTAGAGCACTCACTTTATAAATTAATTTAATTAAGGATGTAATAACAGAGAGGAATACAGTTTTGAAAAACCTCTTAAATTTTAACAGCAAGGAGGAATCTGTAGAATCTAAATGTCTTGTAAAATATTAATTGCAATTTTCTTCCAGACATTTTCTCTGAATATGCCTTACCCTTTTCTTTTTAGAATCACTACCAGTTTTATTAAATGCAGTTTATATTAAGGAGTTACTGCCCTAAAAGAACATTTGTTTAGAGCACTCCATTTCAGTGGCGGCATGCTGAAA